AACAGCATAGTTTTTACTAGGGACCTTTTCCCAGCTTACAAGTATTTGAAGACTTACGCATTAGTAGATTTTACACTGATGAGTTTTTAGTGTCAACCTGGCTTAAGATGTCAGTCAGAAATCCTGGCTGCTAAGTGAGGTTTATTCTCTGTAATAAAAGGCCAAGGCTAAAGCCAAGAGTCTCAGAGGCTGATGGGTTAGAGCCAGCCCATGAATAATTGAGGGTATGCTCTCCATTTGTGGCACTGAGTGGCAGCAACTGACTGTGAAAACGCATTTGCGGGAATCCCAGGGTCCTCAGGCTGTTCGGCAATGAGCCCGTGTGGCTGCTGTTCCTCACCTTCCCCAACCAACTCACGGAGTCTGACACCCCACACACAGCCTATCCTTCAGCAGCCAGAAATTGGATCTTTTCTGAAGTTGCCCAAATCCAGCCTCAATTCCTGAGGAAAGCTGGCAAGGACCAGCCACACCACCACTCATGGGAGAGTTACAGAGAAAAGAACAGCTGCCACATGTCACCTCTGACTATGTGCCATGCAGAAATCATGGAAAGCAAAAAGCATTACAGCCTACTGTGGGGATGGGTGAGCCTGTAACGAAGGCAGTTCCTCTTCCCCTTCCAGAAACAGGAAAAAAACCAACCACCTAATGGGAAGAATTATAGCAGTTTGAGTTCCTCATGATCATACAGAATGAGAAGTGTCCCCAGTTCACTACTAGGGGCCTTGCTGAAGGCCACATCGAGGTCACAGCTCTACTCTTGCAATATTAATTATTGGCCTGGGACAGCTATATAGCAGCTTCCTGGTTACGCACAAAACGCTTCCGTGTGCTGGGCTACTGCAGAGGCTGGCGCTGTGGGTTTTGCTAGACAAACGCTGCAGCTCCCAAGAACTCTGAGGACTTTCTTCCTGGAATCCTTTTGTAGATCAGGTTTATAAGCATCAAGTGCCCCCTTTCCCCCAGACCTACCACATAAAGAAACTGTGGATGAAGGGAAACAGGAAGAAGATGGGGACAAGGAAAGAAGCAGCAGAAGCAGCTCCTCAGGCTATCTTCAACTTCCAGAGCTATTTAGGGCAGAAACACGAGAAGCAAGCAAACCCATATACAGTAGTGGAAGACAAGCAACAAAATATCCAGCTGTGTGCTGCTCCAAGAAATGGAAGGGAAAGTTATCCCTAAAAATGCCAAGCATGCAGCACAAATCGTTTACGAGGAGAACACATCTGTAATTACAAGTTATTGTAGCTACCCTGCTGCCAGCAGTAACTAGGAGCAGAAGGAAGCGATCAGTGTCGTCTCCTCCCGCAGGGACCCGCCAATGCTGCTGACGCTGCAGCCGTGCTCCTGGTGGGCTCGGTTTTCCTGGTGGAACACCTCCCTCCAGTGGCCAAAGGCAAGTGGTTTCCACAGAGCTCAGGCAGTTGGGGACAAGCGGCAGTCCCCACATTCCCTCCTTCCTTCTTCCAGCCCCACATCAGGCTGAAGGAGAACCAGCAGCACCCTTCCCACCCTGCAGCCATCTTGTCAGCTCTGGCAGCTCTGCCATGAAGTGTAGCTCTCTCAATCAGAGAATCTTTTAGGTTGGAAAAGACTTTTAAGATCATCAAGTCCAACCCTTAACCTAGCACTGCCAAGTCCACCACTAAACCATGTCCCTAAGCCCCTTGCCCACGTGTCTCTTAGATCCCTCTAGGGATGGCGACTCACCCACCTCCCTGGGCAGCCTGTTCCAGTGCTTGACAGCCCTTTTTCTGAAGAAAATTTTTCCTAATACCCAATCAGAACCTTCCCTGGCACAACTTGAGGCCGTTTCCTCTTGCCCTAGCACTTGTCACTTGGGAGAAGAGATCAACACCCACCCAGCTACAACCTCCTTTCAGGTGGTTGTAGGGAGCCATAAGGTCTCCCCTCAGCCTCCTCTTCTCCAGGCTAAACAGCCCCAGTTCCCTCAGCCACTCCTCACAGGACTTGTGCTCCAGACCCTTCCCCAGCTCTGTTGCCCTTCTCTGGACACACTCCAGCACCTCAGTGTCTTTATTGCAGTGAAGGACCCAAAACTGAACACAGGATCATGAGGCCCTGGGAAAGCACTGCCACCTGATTAAAGCACTGGGAAACCAAACAGAACAGAGAACTCGTGACCGAGAACCAAGCTCTCCTCACGCACATCCTAAAGGAAAAGGTTGTGCTCACAGATCAGACAGATCACTGCACCCTCCTGAGGGCCCAGGATCCATTTAGGCACCTCTTGCTCCACACTCAGCTGATTGGGGTAACTGAAGTCTTGACTTTAGACCAGTTGCCACCCATGTTTGCTGGTAGCACATCAGCACCTTCTACTCTCCAAATTTCACTCTGTTTCTTCAAACACATGTAATGACTAAGGTCATGCTTATTAATTCCTAAAGCAACAGCTCCAGACTCCATTAGCGCACTCACAGATCCTCCTATGGACAGCCATTTTAAATGGACAGGAGGAGTTTCAAGATCCAGCTCATATCTCTCAACAACTTAGCTGAGGGAAGCAAGAAGATTCATGCAGTGGCTCTATCTACACCTCAAGAGCTTTTCAAACAGCCAAGCCCCGTGCATCGTGGCATAGCCACAAAAAAAGGATACCTCAGCTTTCTTCCTCCTCACAGTGGCAGGGCAAGGGCTGAGAAAAATTTTTTTTTAAATGGTAACCCAGAGGCAAGAGCCTACTAACAGTGAGTAGGAAGAGGAAAAATTTATAAAGCTAAGCTAGCAAGAGCTGTATGCACTGTGGGCATAGCAGCAAGCTTACGTTTTGTCAGTTAGTCCCTGAAGCTTATAACTTCATACAGAACAGTATGGAGAGTACAAACTTGATGTGACATCTTCAGAGATCGCTTAGCTTAGGAGCTAACAGGTAATTCAAAGGAACTACCACTCAGTCAGCTCACCCTGGGTCAGGCACAGTTCATAAAACAAGGCAAAGTTTACTGCAGAATATAGCCAAGGAAAATTGTCACCTCTCCGCTGGGCAGTATCTTCAGTCCACGTTGATCTCGCACACAGGCATCAGAACAGCTTTTGACAGGCCCTTTGTTACCTTAAGCAAACCAGGTGTCAGTGATCTGCATGTAAGCAGAAGTGGGTTGACAAGAAGCAAGGGGAAACTACTGCAATGCACAAGTCATAGGCAGAGATGTACTTTTTTAGCAAAGTCTTTATTACAGAAATATTCACCCTCTAAACTTTTATATCTGTACATGCATTTCTTCCAGTAGGAAGATGTTGCTAAAAACAGACAAAAACCAAAAAGGAAACCCAGCATGAGCTCCTTTTTACTTGCTGCTCGGCATTGGCATCTGTAACTGAACAAGAATCTTACAAATAAGAACACGTTAGAGAAGAGACTTTGTGCTACAAAAGCTAGCAAGCTTTACTGCTAAAAAGGGTGCCTTCTGCTATAGCAACGGTCAGCTTGAAGGATCTGTGCAGGAGGGGGCAAGTGTCTCAAACCAGCAAAGCCTTATCAGACCTCCATAAAACACAGCTGCCCAGTCATATCTACTCTCCCCAATCCCTGCTTCATCCAGAGGTAAGGACAGAGCAGGGACCCACCGCTGGGGCCCTGATCCCCTGCAACAGCCTTTCCTCCCAGAAGGAACACCAAGTAGGTAGTGAAGCCATCCCTTTGAACTGCTACTAGGGTTACTCCCACCAACCCCACCCCTGACAAGAGACAGTCCTGGGACCACCTCTGTAAGGCAAAAGCGCTCTCACCAAGTACCTTGTACCAGGTCGCAGGCAAGGACCATCCATTTCTCCTTCATACAGCCTCCTGCTGTCAGGGTGATCACACCCACGTGCAACTGCAGGAAATCTGTTGTGCCCAAGGCACAGCTAGGACTGAGGATTTGCACCCAGCTCCCTTACTGAAGTTGGGCAGTTTTCCACACACACATTTCCTGCTTTCTTCTGCTCTACACCACTCCTTGCTGCTGGCCACTGGCTGAACAGGGTAAACCATCCAGCCGTTAGTACAGGAGCCACCCGGCCTGCATGACTGCAGAACTAGCTACTGATCTGCTGCAGTGCTTACACTCCAGACAGAGCCCAGGATGCAGCCATGGCTTCAGAAAACTATAGACAACTGAAATAAAAGCAACTTATCTTTGCATTCAAACTACTGAGCCTGAACTGGGCACTGGTAGCAATATCTCCAATACACAGCATCAGCAATCCAGTCGGATCCCTCCATATTCATAATTAAAAACCACAACTAACAAATTTTATGTTCATAAAGGGGGCAGGGGAGGAATCAAGTTAATTGTAACCTCTACAAAAGTTGGCAACCCAAGAATGCAACCAGCAGAGCCAGCCTGGGGCTGAGTCCACACTATGCAGCAGTCTCTGACATGCCTCCAAGCTGACAGGAGGTAGAAAAGCAGTGCGACAGGGAGAGGAAAAGGTAAAGAGATAAGTGGGAGAAACATGTAAGTGTCAAATCCAGAACCCAAGGGACCCATTCCAGAAACAGCTAAGCACCACCACCTGCCAGGCCACACTAGGAACAGGCAGGCTTGGCTCCCCAGCACGCTCAAAGAGAAGAGCTCCACTGAAGGCAAGGCATAGCTGACTCCAGAAGCAGAAGCGAGTATGAAGGTAGCGCTCAATAGTTCAGATGAGAGCCTAGGCTGGAAGATGCACAGTAGGAACCAAACCAGGTTAACTGCAAGGAAGGAGGAGGCCTATAAAGCACAACTAGTTACCACCACAAGTCAGTGAAGTAGGTGAAGCTACCAAAGCACTGGAATCTCAACAGCAATCCTGGCTCATGGAACAAAGAGATGGAACTTCTGGAGGTAGGGGAAAAGATTTGTGGGAGGAGAACAAGGAAGGAGAGAAGTTACTGTATTTTAGGCCCAATAGAATTTAAAATGGAGATATGAATAGTATTGTTTAACAGAGCAGGCAGAAAAAGCATTGTCCCCTCAGGTTAATCTCAGTCTCATGCGATACGAGACAGTTAAGTTCTGCTTCTTGAAGTAGAAATAATCCAGAGGCAGGATGCAGGTGACCCAAGGGCCGTATTGCCAGAAGATCAGGCTGTATTGCAGCTCTAAGAGTTCTTAGCTGAGTGGTATCAGAAATGGGATGTCACAGGAATAATAGTCAATGGTTGGACAGTCTGGGTATGAGGCAGGAATGTTCTGTTTGCTCCTTTCTCTGCGGTGCCGTAGCTCTGGAGTCAGCCAACTCAAGACTTGGGCACTTTGGTGTAGTCTTCGCTGTGTATGTTCTTGCAGAGTGAAATGGACAGTATCATTCCCAGGAGCTGGAATAAGTAATAAAGAATGGGAACAACATAAAAAATAATCAGCAACCACACAGATAATAAGGTGGGAAGAAAGGGCAGTACAGGGGGCAGAACACAGTGGTCTCCTAATGACACCACGCAGGGGAACAAAGTTGGTCCCCGACGCAAGGAAAATGCAGTAATTGCGATGACAAAAACACCTTGCTGCAAAGAGATGTGCCTTCATCTGGAATCTGTGTTACGGGCTTTTTAAGGCAACAAGTGGGATCTCCCTAGTGGGATGTTGCTTTTCTCATTCTTTCTGGTTACACAATATTTAATCCAACCAACGAAAGCAGCAGTTCAAAGCTCCACGTAGACACAACCAAGAGCTAGAACTGCACTGCCACTGAACTAGGTCCTGTTACTTAAGAAAATAGCTTTACCTTTAAAAAGGAGTCTGTACAGTAATACAGGTTCACATAAAGGAGGAGTGACTTACCTCTATAACAGCAACACCGGTACAGACCCCAAGAATGACACCAAGGTTGTCCTTCAACCACTTCTCTACACCATCCATACATCCCTATAGAGAAGACACAGTCACAAGGGAAAGAAGAACGAGTCTAAGTTACTCAAGACGGAAAATCCGTAACACATCTCTTGGTATAGTGTGTAACTGGGATAATTTTTGCATATACAAAAGTTTCACAGTAGCTTTAGCAGAAGAAGGGCAGGATCCCTGCCCCCTCCTTGCCCCTGTTTCTGCAGGTACTTCAAACAATACTGATGTGAAAAAAAAAAAAAAAACCAAAAACGCTCTAAATAATTCCCAGAGGAACAGAGACTTCCGTGGAAGCTTCACAGGGCGCAGACAAACCCACTCACCTGCTCATGAACAGGCCAGTCAGCAGATGTTACAGTGCTGTTGGTAGGGACATCCAGCTTGCAGAAACCACTGTCTACCTGAGAGTCCTTGGAGCTATTGGAGCAGGAGCAGGGATATGCAGTCAGGCTTTGGTTGAAAAGGATCTCATTATTTTCCCAGTCCTGCGCTCCAGTCCAGCCACAGCAGGAGATCTAATAAGCAGAGAGAGATCATCACGGTATTAAACTTTGTGCCGGTAACATATTGCACGTGAAAACAAAACGGGCAGCAAAGGTGGAAGGACACAGAAGTTCTCCATATAACAACAGTCAGACCATACAGTTTGCATGAGTTGGTTACATCAGAACATCACCCTGATTATCAGATTATAACCTATGCACAGGGCCTTCCAGAAGACAGGGGCATTATTTTCTACCACAGAATCACTCTGCTAGCAAGACAAGAGTTAAAGGGCCACTGCACAGGCCATTCATAAAATTCCAGCACTCATGCTAGAATACAAATCCTTCACAAGCCTTACTACATGAAACTCAGATACTCTGATTTCAGCAGGCCTTGCAGCTTAACAGCAACGCTGGAGTGTAATTCTGATTAGTATTTAGCAACTCATTAGCTGCAAAAACTAATGAACTTCATCTTATCTCCAGGTGGCAGTGCTGAACAGACAAAAATGCAAACCAGGTGCTGTTGGTGGGTGGGTGAGCTGGAGAAGGGCAGGCTTGTTATTTTTTTTTTTTCCCCCCAGTTCATCAACAGGTTCTTTTATTGAGGGAGAAGCAAGGCAGGAAAGATTAACATGTTGACAAGACATCCTGAGAATTCAAAGACATCTCAAAAGGATTACTACCTAGTCTCCCACTAGCGATGCCATTTCCATAGGTTTAAACACTAAGACTATTTTTCTTGGAGTAGCATGCACTGTTAAGCGGACACAGAACAGGAACTTTTCTGGTTCCCAACTGCAAGGTACCACTGACCGTGGCTGTGGCTCCGGGGGACACCAGCAGCCACCGCACGATGGCGTGGACACGCTGCTGAGCCCCAGCTCACACCCGCCTGGCAGCGGTTGGGAATGGCTGGAAGATGTGATGAGGAAAGGTTTCCAGCCGAAGAAACATTTGCATTCCTACACAGCCATGTGATAAAACTGCAAGTTGCCCGAGGGACAACATGCACATGAGGAAGTCCATGGAAGACTAAGATCTTATCCTTTAGCATGGATCCAAGTGCTTGCAAGGTGGTATGGAGCAGAAAGGCTTGAGGTGGAAGCTTAGGGAAAAAATCATGCTCTGCTCAGAAAGGAAACGTGATGTTTCAGCCTGATATAACAGACATGAGAGCAAAAGTACAAACAGCTGAACACCCACACCAGGACAAGCACTTGGTTTCCAAATATGTGCTGAAGATCCAGCCTCCAGAAGGAACTACATCTACCTCACTGGTCTGCAGAACACCTACTCCCTTTCAGAGGTTAACTATAGTGTATGAGAAGAATTCAACTCCTAGCACTTGACTTCACCTCTATAAAACCTTCTGTTCCTACATAAAAAAGGCTCAAGTAAGATCCTCTCCCCACAGCAGACTGAGCCTTCTCTTGAGTCCACTAGCAAAGAGATGCATCTACAGTGATAAAACATAAATAAATGATTCGCCCTCCAAGGAGGAGAAATACTGCAGGCCAGTGCTCTGCAGACCAAAGAACAGACAAAAGAAAAAAATGTTATTACTTGTACCAGCTACACAAGAGTCCCATGCTGGGCATGTATTTAACCACAACAGCCAGCCAGCTCTCCAGCTTGTGGTTTGGCAGCAAGAAGCTATCATGACTCCAGTGTGCCTGAACGCTGACCTAGTTGCTCAAGCGGTGACCCTGATGCTCAGACAGAAACCGCACGTGGTTGGATGGCTCCCAAGAACACTGACACTTGCAGAAGAGCCACTGCAGTAAGCAACGTGCACCAAGCAGTAAGGCAGGCAGCACCGCTGACTTGCCTGGCAGTAAGCTAAGGACTTCACTTGCTACAAAGGTAATGTGCTCTGAGGCTTATACACATGCTGGTATTCTGGAGGCCCTGCCGACAAGGTCAGATCACCTAATGTCTCTGACCTATAGTGTATGTAGCCAATACTACCTAGTCTTAACAGCCAGCATGCAGGAATGGTTCAGGGTCTTACCTAGTAAGAGCAAGCAAGACAGTTTGCTAGTATGCAGGCACCAAACCTCACAGGCAACTTTATAGATCAGCCAGATCAACAAGCTACAGTATTGCCTCTTGCAATACCCATTTCCCTGCTCTCAGCATAGCTTTAAAGGCCATTTACTGCACTGACAGGTAGCATCATCTGCCTCTTGCTGGCCCCCAGGACTCACCTGTTTTTGCACATAGTCCCACGCATCTTGTAAGTTCCTCTCATCATCATTCAAAGGGTCATAATTTTCAATCAGACTTCCAATTATGTGGGACAATTCTTCTTTCAGCTGGCAAGGAAAAAGGGCAGGACAATTAGATTAGTTAATTCCTTCTAGCTTCTTTTTTGGGGTTTAGGGTACGTAATGTCTTCAAGGCCAGGCTGGATGAGGCTTTGAGCAACCTGGTCTAGTGGAAGGTGTCTCTGCCCATGGCAGGGGGTTGGAACTAGATGATCTTTAAGGTCCCTTCCAACCCAAACCATTCTATGATTCTATGATAACATACTTCCCTACAACCTGTGTTACATTCTCGACTGTGAGGAAGGTGACCCACAGCAGGACTAACAAGGGCTCATCATTACCATGAGTGTGAAAACATTTTGCTTTGCTCTAGCTCCAGTGAACAAGGCTAGAGCAGAGACACTGCAGATAAAGATTATAAGCACTGAAAGAAAAAAAAAAATAATGGAATGGGCAGTAGCTTCTGCTTAGACCTTCTCCAAAGGATCTGAAGGAAACAGTAATGGGTGCTCAGGCTATCACACTCCCACAAAGTATTTTTGAGCTATTTTTAAGTTATAGAAGAAAGGCAGGCAGAACCGTGACTAAAAAAAAAAAAACAAAAAAAAAAACACCTGGGAAATGAGCATTTAATTAACACACAAAGCAATCCTTGAAAGAAAAGAAAAAAAGCAGCTAGGCAGTGACAAGTCTCCAAGACCAACCTTCAAATACCTTACTCTGCAGTTTTGTCAATGCTTTCAAGAAGAGGTAAACAAACATCATCAACAGGATGAAATACAGAATGGGTTTACCAAGATAAAGTCCCACTATGGTGACCAGGTGGCATTTCTTGCAAAGAAAGGTTTTTTTTTTCCACGCAAAAGTAAACACAACAAATCAACCCTAGCTTTCGGTGTTGCATGGCCTGCTGCTGTGTAAGAGGGAAGTTATTCTAGAGAAAATGGGTCAATTCTAGGTGCCCATTTCCTCCAACCACCAGTTTCTTCTCAAGCTTATTAGGCTGATGGGAATACTGCTACTTAGGTTTCTCACAAGTTGAGGCTTGGAATAAACTCCTTTGCTTGTCATTATGCCAGTTACAGTGTTGATGGGAAGCACATACTTCATACACAGAAGTTCAGACATCAGACCAAGCAATCACACATCCCCTTAAGATCAGATTAGAAAGGGAAATAAATTTAAACTCACAAGAAACCAGAGTTGTGTAGTACTGGGCAAGTAAGTTTTATAATGTATGCAGGACAACTGGAGATCTACCACAGAAAAACTTGGGATGCTTGGTAGCCATAAAACAAACAAACAACAAACCCAATAGGCTCCAGTGGTCTGGAGTCAGAACAGAAAGTGTCTTAGTCTGCATCATGAAAACACTTTCCAGGAGAGACAGGAAAACAGTAAAACACAGGTACAAAGTACAAACTGTATCTTTTCAGCAAAGTTATATGCAACTTTGGTCACTCAAAAAAAGTTAAGTGCAAAAAGTAGCAACTACAGATAAGGTGATACATACAGCCTCAGTCTTGAAGGGTAGCAAGACAGCAGCTTTGCCATGCAACGCAGCAGCTAAAGCACCGGCACTTCCCAGCAAGCCCTTGCTCAGGCACAGATAAGGGCTACCCAATGAGCAATAAGGAAACAGAACTAGGTATGGTTACCCTGGTAAGACAACTGCTGTCTGCCCCAGATGAGATGGAGGTGAGAGATAAGTGCAAGCTGAATGTCAACACTGACTTAAGTACTCGCAGGTAACATTTCTACAGCAAGAGAGACTCATTGTATTGGGTTTGTGTGGAGGGTTTTGGTAGGAGGGGAGGGGCCACAGGGATGTCTCCTGTGGGAAGCTGCCAGAAGCTTCCCTGGCTCCAAGTTGAAGCCACCTCTGGCCACAGCTGAGACAGTCAGGGATGGTGGCAGTGCCTCTGGGATAGTGTATTTAATAGGGGGGAAAAAACATGTTGGGGAACCTGCAGGGAGAGAGGTGGGGTGTGAGAGAGACATGGCAGACACCAAGTCAGCAAAGGGGGAGGAGGTGGTCAGAGCAGAGGTTCCCTGTCAGCCCGTGGTGAGAGAGCAGGCTGTGCCCTGCAGCCATGGAGGGTCATGGGGGAGCAGAGGCCCCACTGTGGCTCGGGGAGGGCAGCTGTGCCTGAAAAGCCCATGAGTCTGTGGGAAGCCTACACGGGAGGTGGCTGTTCCTGAAGGACTCTATGGGGGTGACCCACGCTGGAGCAGTTAAAGAACTGTAGCCTGCGGGAAGGACTCACACTGGAGAAGCTTGCGGAAGACTGTCTCCCATGGGAGGGACCCCACACTGGAGCACAGGCAGAGTGTGAGGAGTCCTCCCCTGAGAACTGAGAAGGAAGGAGCAGCAGAGAACATGTGATGGACAGTTCTGGGCTCCTCAGTCCAAGGACAAGGAACCACTGAAGAGGGTCCAGCACAGGGTCACTAAGATGATCAAGGGCCTGGAGCCCCTTCCATGTGAGGAAAGGCTGAGAGAGCTGGGTCTGTTGAGCTTGGAGAAGAGGAGGCTGAGGGGGGATCTTA